GTGAGCAGCCGTGCACTATTCTGCATAAAGCTAAACCCCTCGAGCCTCACACTGGCTTAGGTTGCCTGCAAAGCACTGAACGCCGCCACATGTAGACGAATCCCTGACGGTAAGCGTACAGAAGCTTTACTTTCCAGCTGTTACGCAAGGGCCTGGCGCGGGTGAACGGCCTACTTAGCCAGTTGTTTCTACCGGCAGCACCATTCGGCGGAGAGATGCACCCCCAGAAACTTCCCATGTTCCTGGCGCTTCTTGGCGACTGTAGAGTGACGGTCCGTCGAATTCAAGGCGAACTCAGGTCTTTAGAGGGCTTCGGATTATATCTTTTACAGCGGTTCAACCCAGTTAGTGCAGTGACCACGGGGTAAACTTGTGTCCACTGACCCTGAAGATGTACTGCTGCTTCTAAATTGCTTTTCTGTGCCACGAAACTGGGAGCACCGGCGACCGGATTTTATCGCATTTTAACCGTAGCAAAGGCGTGGGCCAGCCAGACAACTACGCGGGCCTCTGGAACCAGGGTGATACAATGGCGTTTTTATGATATGCCCAGAGTCTTCAAACGTCATTTAGATTCCACTTGATTAAGTTAGGCGGTAACTGTAGCTCAGGACGTGCAGAGGCGCCTTCAGTTGCAGGCGCTGGGCCGGCACACTGCAACATCGCACTAGCCATCATCATAAAGCCAGCTATCATTATTATAATATAATAATAACATAAAGCCAGCAACTATATTATTTGTGTATGAAGCATAATATTTAAACGTGATGATTCTTCCTGCTTCAAGAGGCAAGTCGCAATCGGGATGTGCAGATTCCCTACCTCTCGAGGAGGGAGCTTCGTTGTTCGTTTTTTGCGATTGCTGATGCCTCATTCCTGGGCGAGAAGGGACATTGCGACGCAGGTCCCCTGCTAGAGCGCAGCCCTGGCTCCTGCCGCACGGCAAAGGCGTTCCTTGGAGCCATGTAACCCCATATTTGCGTGTGTCGCAGTGCATGCTCCCCTCTACACAACTGTCAAGCTTAATTGTAGTCTCGGGAGGCCGTGACAAACTAGGCCTCCCGCGAGACATGTTGGTTTTGACCCAGTGGCTCTCGAACGCGTAGCACTCCGCACAGTAGTAGTGGCCAACGTCTGCGCCTGAGGAGCTCGGTAGAGACTAATCCGTGAAGGATTATCAACAGCAGTTCTCAGAACTTCGGTTGCGCACAAGCAATTCGGAATTTGGGGGTTTTGTTCAAGATCCCCAAATTGCTTGGAGCAGTTGCACCAAGCTGTCTCCATACAGAAGCATTTAGGGACTCCTCACCAGAGTATAGATAGGAAATGAGTATCTAAGAAGTAATAACCACTGGCGTGCTCGCCAGTGGTTGTCGCGAAGCAACCAATAGATTGTTGCATACCTCTGGTTTGAGCGGAGTGAGCAGCTATCAATAACGTTCAGCTATATGAGTGTGCTTCATCTTGGAAATCACACTTTTTATACAGCGCGACAGTCACTGCAGGGTGAGACGAACGATGCCCTGGGGGACCACGGCTGCAGCACGGAGTGCTGACGCAACTTAGCGGAGAGAGCACAGGACAATGCTTTAAGAAGTATTGTAACTTTTCGGATAGGGCAGAAACGAATTTTGTGTGAGAAATCGGCGGGTGTTTCTCCAGCGCTGACCCCGCGACTCGACGACTCTGACTGCGTCGCAAGACACAAGCATTCATGGAATTCCGCAGGTTGGCTGCCTGGGAATTGATGCCCCCTTACCATTTCTAGAGTTTATAAGGGGCCGTAAAATACTATAAAGGGTCCCTAGTGATTATTTGCTCTCTAGAGGGGTCGTAGGACGTTCGGCAGCGAAGGGACAGTGGCCTGCTCTACCCGCCAGGCGCTCACGCGCACCCCCGACATCGCCCTCCCAAAAGCCGCTGAAGCTAAGGATAACATCGTCATCATCTGCCATTTGAATCACGTTCATATATTTTGATGATTTAGTAGATCGTGTGTACGCCTCCTTCTTGGCTTGGTCAACGACTACTTGGTGACAATGGCGCCTCTCGATCTGCTCACAGTCGTCAGTGCCCCGTTCCTCGTCCTGGCCAGCGTAAACGGCATTGTAGCAGCAGACACACCAACTTACAAAGTAGAATTCGGTATATTTCCCATTTGCATGAGCAGTTTGTTGGTTGGTCTACGTTCCCAGCTGCCCAAGCCCCTTTGTGTCCAACGGGCCAGAACAGATCAAACCAACTGGGAGTGTCCGACAGGCATTGAATAGTTTCAGCACGACGCTTTTGTCTTGTAAATCATTGTTCATAGATCGGCGTAATTTGGTTGTTTTCCCGCAGGAACTGATGGCCAATGCCTCGCCGAGGTCAATGCTGCGCGCCTGGCCGCTGGGCTCAGCGAACTCGTCCAAGCAGAAACAGTGAAAACCGAAGCTAGACTGCCTGATGCAGCCACCGCTCCAGGCGATTCAGATGACAGCTGGGTTTGGATGCCGGTGTGCAATGCTTTGATACCAGTGAGTTCCTTACCTTTCTAGCTGCCCTCCGTAGAGTCTTGCCGATTGTGCAGGTCACCACGGGTCTGCCAATTCTCTTGCTGTTTGTAGGAAGCGGCAGCAGAAAAAACTTCAAGGGCGGGAGGTGCAGCTGAGTTCCAGAGCGGCACATACGCATACCATCCCGTTGATAGTCCCGCTTCCGTCGACTGCAATGCGGTTGTGGATAAGTGGAAGCGCGCCTACAGCAACTTCAGTGGATTGCCTCCGCCTAACAAGGAAGATGAAGAGCTGTATCAAGACCAGGACAATGTGTCTTTCGTGGCTCTGTACAACCCTACAAAGAATGCTACTGTAGACTGCCGTGTTGTCACCTGCACTAAGACGACGCCGGCAGCGGCAAGTTTCAAAGCAGCAAGAACCGGCGGGATAAAAACGGAAAAGGGCTCTGCTTTGATTTGCATGACCGTACCTGATGTGCTTCCTGAGAAAGGAGAAAAGGCCCCTTTCACGTGAGTGCCTGCACTCTCCGTGCTTCCGCTTCGACCTGTATTCTTTTTTCAGATAAGATTGGTTTTATATCTTCATGTGTGTTCCGCAGAGAGGAGCAGTGGGGACAGATCGTGACCGCCATCGAAGGCTCAGCCTCCGCTGTTGCGCCCAGTGTGGTTGGTCTTGCATTGGCGATCGTTGGCCTCAGCATGCTTTGATGGAAAGCTCTTTTCGCGAGGAATGATCCACGAGGCTCTTTTTTTCATTGTTGAGGGAAGCCAGGAGTTTCGCTACCTGCTGAGGTGTAGAATCCCGCGGATCACATACTGTGTGCTCGATGCAGATGAGAAAGTCGCGGCTGATGAGAGCATCAAGGCGGCGTTGGGTGCTGGTGGATCATTAAACTACCCGAAAAAGGTTCCCCGTGTGTTGTATAGGGAGGATGGTTGCCACAATTTCTGGCTATACAGTGCACGGGGAGCCTTTTTTGTGTACAGACACAAATTATGTTTTTACCCCTCGCTCTGCCCTGCCGGTGGAGCCGCTTGGGTCCGCCACCAGGGCAGGCATGACTTGGGGTGAACGGTTCATCTTGCCTGTTATTCTTGGCGACTGTAGAGTGACGGTCCGTCGAATTCAAGTCATACTCAGGTCTACAGAGGGTTTGGGAGTACATCTTTTATAGCAATTCAACCCAGGTAGTGCAGTGAACGCGGGGGCAGCTTGTGTCCACTGACCCTGGTGATGTACTGCTGCTTCTAAATTGCTTTCCTGTGTCGCGGAACTGCGAACATCTGTGATCCTGTAGCAGGACTGGAGCGTGTTTTAGCCGTAGCAAAGACATGGGCAAGTCAGACAACGATACCGAACGAGGCTCCGCGGGACCACGCCTGCAGCCCAGAGTGCTGACTCACCCTGAAGGACAGTGCACGGAACAAGAATTTAAGAAGCAACATGACTTTCTGGAAAGGGCAGAAACGAATTTTGTAAGAGAAATCGACTCGAGCCTCTTCAGCGCAGACCTCGCAACTCGACGTCGGTGACTGGGATGCAAGACACAAGCATCCACGGATTCCGCAGGTTGGCTAGCCCGGCTTTGATACCCGCTTACTTTTTCTGGAGTGCGCCTGCACCATAAAAGTTATATAGATGGCCCTTGGGGATTATTTGCTCCCTAGAGACACCGTAAGACGCTGGTGAGCGAGGGGACACCGGCCTGGCCTACCCACCAGAAAGAGCGTTCACGCGCACCCCAGGCACCGGCCGCCTTGTGCTAAGGATAACATCGTCAGTCGCCTGCCATTTAAATCGGGTTCATATATCTTGATGATTTAGTAGATTTTAGGTTGCGTATACGCTTCCTTGTCGGCTAGAGCAACGCCTACTTGGTGACAATGGCGCCCCTCAATCTGCTCACAGTCGTCAGTGCCTCGTTCCTCGTCCTGGCCAGAGTCAACGGCACTGTAGCATCACAACAACCAACCTACAAAGTCGCTTTTGGTATGTTACTCAGTTTGATGCGCAGTTGATTGGCTGCACTACGTTCCCAGCTGCTCACCACGAAGGAACCCGGAGTGTCCGACGGGCATTGAAGAGCTTCGGTATGACACTTTTATCTTGCAAATCATTGTTTACAGTTGAAGGTAATTCGCTTGTTTTTCCGCAGGAAATGATGGAAAATGCCTCGCCGAGGTCAATGCTGCTCGCCTGGCCGCTGGGCTCAGCGCACTAGTACAGGCAGAAAAAGCGAATGCCGACCGTAGGATGCCTGATACAGCTACTGATTATACAGGATCAGGAGACACTTGGGCTTGGTTGCCGGTGTGCAAGGCATTGATTCCAGTGAGTTCTTTACCTTTCTAGCTGCCCCCGTAGAAACTGGCCGGTCGTGCTAATCACCTCAGGGCCTGCCAACTCTCTTGCGGTTTCTAGGAAGCGGAAGAAAAAAAAGCTTCAAGGGGAGCGGGTACAACTACGTTCCAGAGCGGCACGTATGCATACCTCCCCGTTGAGAATCCAGATGCCGTCGATTGCAATGCCGTTGTGGACAAGTGGAAGGGTGCCTACAGCAACTTCGATGGATTGCCTCCGCCAAACAAGGAAGAAGATAATCTGTACAAAAATCACGAGAACGTGTCTTTTGTGGCCCTGTACAACCCTTCAACGGACGCTACTGCAGATTGCCGTGTCGTCACCTGCACAAAAACGACGCCTGAAACGGCAAGTTTCAAAGCAGCGAGGACCAGCGGGACAAAAACGGAAACGGGCTCCGCTTTGATTTGCATGACCGCGCCTGATGTGCTTCCCAAGAAAGGAGAAAAGAGCCCTTTCACGTGAGTTTTTTCCACTCTCCACGCGTTTCCCCTCTTGTATTATTTTTCCAGGTTAGATTGTTGTTGTTTCTCGGGGTGTGTTCTGCAGAGAGGAGCAGTGGGGACAGATCGTGACCGCCATCGAAGGCTCTGCCTCCGCTGTTGCACCCGGTGTTGTCGGCCTTGCATTAGTGATCCTTGGCCTCAGCATGCTGTGAAGTAAAAGCCTTTTAAGAGAGGGACAATCCAAAAGGCTTTCCGTCCACTGTTAAGGGAAGCCAGGAGTTTCGCTGCCTGCTGAGGTGTAGAAGCCCGCAGGTCACATACTGTCCACCCGATGTAGATGAGAAAGTCGCGCCTGATGAGAGCATGCGTGCGGAGTTGAGTGCTGGCGGATCACTTAACTATCGCGAAATAGTGGATAAAAACCTGTCTACACAATGTAGGGGGAGCATTTCTTGTGTAGAGACAAGTTATGTCTTTGCCTCTTCCCCTGCGCTGCCGGTGGAGGCGTTGCGTTCCACCATAAAAACAGCCGCTGCTTGGCGGCTAAGGATTGAGCTTGCCTATATTTCGCGGCCGGTGTACAGTGAAGAGCCGTCGAATTCAACTCAAGCTCAGGTTTTTAGAGAGTCTGGGCTTATATCTTTTTCAACGATTCAACGCACAGTAGTGCAGTGGCCACGGCACAAATCCGTGTGGACCGAGCCTGAAGACGCTCTGATGCTGCTTCTAAATTATCTTACCGTGTTGCAAAGCGTGAAGCACCGGCAAAGGGAGAAAGGGTGGTAGTGCCTTTTGGGAGGCACCTACACAGCCCTTGAACGAAGTGGCTAATATGACAATCTTTGCGATCCATCCATAATATTGAATTTTACATTATTTCTGTCAGACTAGGTAGAGGGCTGGGCGTGAGGAGACGCTCTTTGCACGGCATGTACATGCCCAGATCTGCGCAGTCGCCAGCAGTCACTGGTCTCCTGAGTGAACCGGTAAGGCTAGCCATCGTCCCAACTCTACCACTTTATTATGAAATGTAGAATGCAAAGGTGATAATAACATTCCTCCTGCTTCCCGCGCCGAACCATACGTGCCGTTGCACCGCCCGACACTACAACGAGCGT